TATACAAGTGCTCAGTGAAGGGCCTGCCAACCTCCTGGACTGTTGAGAAACAGCCAAGGCTGTTAACCTGAAATATACGCCTGTCGTTCTAGGCGCCATGACATTGAGACCAAGAGGAAGGTGAGAATGGGCTGAGGCAGTGCTGGGGAGGACGGGATGGAGTAGTGACATAATTCTGCAGGACCCCCTCGTTCCTCCTCATCTTGTGGGTACGGCGAGCATGCACATGTAGCTTTCTCACACCTCACCAGGCTTCTGAGTCCAGAGGAGAGGGCCTAGAAGGCGCAGGAGTGAAGTGGGTGGTGTGTGTGTGTGTGTGTGTGTGTGTGTGTGTGTGTATCTGTGTGTGACATTCTGCTTGGAGACCAGAGCCCTGGAAAGAATAATAGCAGATAAAGGTGGAAGGCAGGCAGGCTGGATCCTAAAGGGAGAGAATCCTGACTATCAAACGGGGAGGGGGGGAGCGAAGCCAGGCAGGGAAGTGAGAAAGGAGAGTCCAAGCGGCTAGAGCGAGGGGCAGTAAGACTGGGTTGTTTCTGTTTGGTGCCTGGGATCTTAGGAAGCAAGATGCTCTGGTTTGTGGTCATGCACTGAGGAAGCCAGAGGATGTGGGAGAAAGCCTTACATCTTAGTAATCAATGACTCGATGGCTGGTTATGACCTTGGCCAGAGAGTATGCTGTGCAAGAGACTGGGTAAGTGGGAGAAGATTGAGGATTGGTGAATGTCATTTCTGGCTCTTTCTTCCCCAATTGGGAAATAAGTATTTTCCTTTGCTTCCTTCAGTAGCCCTCTCTCCCATGGGTACAGGGTGTCCAGGTGGTGTGCAGTGAGCAGTCACCAGTCAGGAAGGTTGGGTGCGAGGTGGAAAGGGCCATGTGGTCCTTTTTATTGCCCCTTTGGTTTTCATGGAAGTGGGGTGTCAAGCCTCGGGCTTTAGTGTCCTGGAACATTGCCAGAACCCCAAGGAAAACTCACACAGTTGGGCCAGCTGAGTTTCCGGTTTACCTAGAGGTGGTGCTGGGAATTTTGCCCTTCCAGCAGGTTTTCAGTTGAAGATTATACACTTAAAAAAAAAAAAAAAACAAAAACACACTTCCCTCAGCTAATGATGGGATGCCAGGGTGTCTCAGCTGTGGAGACCGGCCCGCCAGAGCCTTTGAGGAGGACATGGGCTTGAACTGGCTTGTAAGATTGGGGGTAGGGTGCCGGGGCAGGTAGTCTTGGCCATCCACCAAGCAGCGCCGCCAAAGGCCCTTGGGGTTTGTTTTACGGCGGAGCTGAAGCGCACATTTCTTAAATTGCCTACCTGTTGGAGCAGGACGGCTGAGCCGACTTGTCTTAGCCTGAATTTCGGGGTGGTCTCTTTTCTGATTCTGCTTGCAGAATTCGGAGGTCTGCACAATAGCCTGGGTTGCTGTTAGGTCTGAAGCCAACACAAAGAACTTTTGCCCTGTAGGCCAAGCTGGTGGTGTTTCCACCTGGACGTCTATGGTAGCCCATTGTTTAATCTCCGGCTCCTCTTCTGCCTGCCTCCGGCCCAGTCTCCACGATGCAGCCAGGCAGGCGGACGTATGAAAAACATGTGGATGCCAGGCCTAGTGGCTTAGGCTCGTGTCCCCAGCTCTTGGATGGTGGAGGCAGGAGGGTTACCAGGAGTTCGAGGCTAGCCCTAGGCTACGTAGTTGAGTTCCCAGCCAACCTGGACTACAATGTAAGACTGCAAATAAACAATAAAAAATAAATAAACAATCAAACAAGCAAACAAAGAAAATAGCTCAATGGCAGAACACTTGCCTAGCATGCTGGAGACTCTTGAGTTTGATTCCCACCACAGCCGAACCAGATGTTCCTTGAGTCCTTCAAGGCCCATATTTCTAGCCTGTCATCCTCTCCCCTGTGTGGCCTTTTGTGTGACTAGCCACCGTGGACTTCAAGTTCTGGATGCTCTGTCTTCACTGAGTCCCTGAGGATGGCCACAGCTTCATAGACTGTTCCTTTCCCTCCCCCAGCTTACTTTTACATGATCTGGGGTTCTGGGCTTTCCTTTAGGGGAGCCCTCCTGGCCTCTGACACCAGGCTGCTCTTCTGTTACGTTTTCCATTATCTGTCAGGGGTGGGGCACACATGAACTTGTTCCCTACGGGTAGAGAATCAAAAATACAAGTTCCTGGGGCTGGAGAGAGGCCGCCGTGGTTAACAGCACCAGCTGTTCATTCAGAGGGCCTGGGCTCCATTCACAGCAGGTACATGGTGGCTCGAAGCCAATCCGTGACTCCAGTCCCGGAGGATCGGGTGCCCTCATTTGGCCTCAGCAGGCACTGCGCGCTGTACACACTGCACACCGCACAGCACACACGTGGCACAGAGACAAACGTTCGTGCAAACACGTAAAATACACATAAAATAAAAATCTTTAAAAAAAAAAAAATACACGTTCATGGCCTGGGAGTGTAGTTCACTGGTGGAGGCACTAGGTTAGAGCCTCAGCGTTGCATAAGAAAACAAAACCAGACTCTACTCAGAGATCCTGTGCTACTAAAATTCCCGGTGTGACTCAGACTCTGCCAGTTAGATGTGCTCAGCACATGTGTAACAGTTTTGTGGGAAGAGGCTGGGCCTTTTTTTCCCCCCTAGGATAGACTCGAGGACATCTGTTTCCCTGAAATGGTTCCCTGGCAGGGATGTCTTAATGCCATAGCTACCAGATGCCCGAGTAGCAGCCCCTTGTAGCATAGTTCAGCAACACGATCTTGGGAGTAGGCCCTGGGAGCTCAGCTCAGAGTCGTTTCTTCAGCCCTTCCTATGAGTCTCCAGACTGTTTAACATTCTGTGCGGGATCTCTGTGGGCTCAGTATGGCCAGGTAACCCTTGAGCTGCCCATTATTCTTGGCTTTGCCATACTGCTGAGTTTCTTGGCTGGGACTTACCTTCCATGTTGTGTGAGGGAAGGTACATCCCAGGGACTCACGTTATTCCTGGTCATGGGCAGGAAGTGACCATTTCTTGAATGAATGAACTCTCAGGCTAAGAGAGGTTTTTGTTGTACTTGATTTTTATGTCTCTATTTATTGAGACAATCTCATGTAATGTGGACTTGCTATGGTAGCTGAAGTCAGGCTTGAACTCCTTTTTTTTCTTCTCTTTGAGAGCTGGTGTATGCTGGGCTGGGACTGTTTTAGGTTTAATAAGTATAAACTAGCTTTTCAGTTTATTTAACGTAAGAGAAGTACCCAGTGTGACAGTGCCTACCCATAACCTCAGCACTTAGTAGGATGAGACAGGAGGATTGCCTTGAGTTCAAGGCTAGCCTGGGCTGCATGAAGTCCCAGGCCTGCTAGGGTTACATGGTTTATTCTGAAAAATAAAAGACAAAACAAACGTGCTTGCACATTTGTGCTGGTGTGTGTGTGTGTGTGTGTGTGTGTGTGTGTGTGTGTGTGTGTTTACGATAAGAGAAAGGTTTAGAGGAAGGAACAATAGATGGTCCTGACAGCAGACTTCACACATCTGTGGGGACATCTAGGGACATAGAATGTCTGTAGAAAGGTGTGTTGGGCTGTAGGGGCCTTGTAGATATTGGTACAGCAGGAGGTTAAACTTCTCATCCTTGATCAGAAATTCTCTGTGTCTAGCCCGTGTATACCGAGCACCATGCCAGACTCATGTTGACAAAGGGATGCTAGACGACCCTCCTTGCCTTTAATGAATGACAATCTAGTTAAACAGACTTTTTTTTTTTTTTAAATTATTTTTTCGTCTTTTTTTTTTTCCGGAGCTGAGGACCGAACCCAGGGCCTTGTGCTTGCTAGGCAAGCACTCTACCGCTGAGCTAAATCCCCAACTCTAAACAGACTTGTTGAAAGACAAAGAAATATAGTAGCATCCAAAATAGTTGGGGAGCTAAGAGTGGGCTGTGACCCCCTGGAAGAGGGGGTCATTGAGATGCTTGTGAGAAAAAGCGTTTACGATTTAGTTACTTGGCCTTGCTTTTTATTTGACCCTGAATAACAAGCCGGGAAGCCTCTGCTCAAGCAGGTGATGTAAGTGAGAGATGTGAGTGAGCACCACGTTGGTTACGTAGGCCACACGTAGGACACTGTGGCCTGGCAAACAGTCATGAACAACAGGCCACACTTTTGCAATCGGGTGTCTGGGAAATGGGGATGGACAGGTGGTGGAAATAGGAGCAACTTTTGCCCAGGCTTTGGCGGGAAGTGCTGGCCGCTCCCCTGGGCCCCTTCCATGTCTCCGCTGCCTGAAGAAATTTTGGAAAGTTCTGGTGGCCCCTGAGCTCCGAAGTATGCTTTCCCCTCCCGCCTCCAACACTGGGCTTGGCCGTCATTAAACTCATTCCGGCTCAGCTTGGGGCTAAAAACGCCTTCCTGTTCCAGCCCATGAGGCTGCCCCAGGCCCTGATCTCTGGTCTCTAGCCTTATAACCTCCTCTCCACTGTGCTGACACACACCAGGGGAGATCAGCAGACGTGTGTGTGGTGAGTCCCAGGCTACTGGTTCTGATTTTTGTTCCCTGCTTCTGGGTTACCATTGACTCTTTGTGTTTTGTGTGTGTGTGTGTGTGTGTGTGTGTGTGTGTGTGTGTGTGTGTGTGTGTTCTTCCATCCTTCCCCCTTTTAGCAGCCTGAGGTTTCTTGGGGTGAAGGAGTAGGCCCCTGCCCAAGCTCTTGTGCTGTGTGGAAGTCTCCCATCCTGGGTGGCCTTTGGCATGCTATAGCTTGAGGCCCAGGGCCTGGAATAGGAACCAGGAATTGTAACGTGGTTCCGTGGGAGGGACTGGAATAATACGACCATTGAGTGACCATTGAGTGCCTGGTCTGGGTGAGTAAGGCTGTGGTCGAGCCGCGCTGTGTCCTAGCTGTACTTGGGTGGAGGCCCAGGATAGTTTGTCTTGGGTGCGTGTGGGCTCTGGACCACGCTCAGTCGGTGAGTGCAAAGGGACGGAGTCAGGAGAGTTTTCCTCTTTTTCACTTCTGTTTCACAGGACCGCCCTCTGTTGCCTAGGCTGCCGGTGAATTCAGAGTCATCCCCCTGCTTCAGTTTGCCGAGAGCTGGGATTACAGGTGTGCACTGCCTCTGTCACCCGCCCCCCCTTTCCCTTTCCTTCTTTGTGGGGGTGAGGAGTGGGGGAGTCAATCCTAGGACATTTTTAGCCTCTTTTCTGGGGGGGGGGTCCGTTTGGGGGAAGTGGAGGTGAGAAAGGATCTCCTGTAGCCCAAGCTAGCTTCCAGATATAATGATTAAGGCTGGCCCTAACGAAACTCCTGACCTTCCTGCCTCTGCCTCCCAAGTGCTTGGAATTACAGGTATGTACCACTTCACCTGGGTCTTACGACAGAGTCCTGATGAGTTGCTTAGGCTGTGTTTGAACTTACTCTGTAGCCCAGGCAGTGCTTGAACTGGGATCCCAGATAGTTTTCCTTAAAGCTCTGTAAGCTCCAGAGACAGTATTTACCCGAATATAGGGCTTTAAGGCTGCAGCTTGGGCTGAGGTCGTAGCCTGTCGGTGGGTAGAGCGTTTGCCTGGCGTATGTGAGGCCCTCACCTCCATAAAGGGAAATGGAAAAAGGAGTAATTGCCAGCTTTCTAATTTTGGATACTGAGGTTTACACAGGTGACTGTGTCATTGTTAGTTGGACCATAAATATGGAGGATATTATCGTGAAGTGTGTCTGTAGGGTTCTAGATTTTATGCCATACTTGGAAAGTTTGGGCGGGGATGTAGCTTGCTTAGTATGTATGCCCACGGCCCTAGGTTTGATCCCCAGCACTGCATAAATCCATGTGGCTCTGAGAAGCCTCTCACTCAGGAGGCGGAGGCAGGGGCATCAGGAGTTCAAGGTCAGCCTCTGTTACATATCAATTGAGGGATGCTTAGGCTGCCTGAGAGACCATTTCAAAGGGAGCAGAGGAAGGAGGAAGTCAGGCTTTGCTCCCTGGTGATGCTCCTGTCTTTTGTGACATCACTGCGTTCCAACATCGCTTCCTGGGGTAGATCTATTCCCGGGCCATGGTGGTGCATGCTTTTAGTCCCGGCCCTTGGGAGGCACAGGTCGGCAGATCTCTGTGAGCTGAAGACCAGCCTGTGTATATAGTGAGTTCCAGGACAGCCAGGGCTATGTAGAAGGACCCTGTCTCTCCAACACACAAACAAAAAAGCATACATTGTCTTTTTTCTAATATTCCAAATATCCTTCCAGGCATATTCATATACAAATGGATATTGAAAAGTAGATGTAAATACTCCTGTGGGAACGCTTCACATCTCTTTGACTGTAGCAGCAGAAGAAGAAACTGCAGTAAACTGAAGGGAATTATTAAGTTTTAAAGAAATATGTTACTTGCAAGAGCTAATTTTCTCTCAGCAGAGTTAATTGTTTGTGAGTCATCTATCATGACTTGTTTTCTCTTTAGACAGTACCTATTGACTCTTGCTCTATTTCAAAGGAGGACTTTTGCCTTACCACCCTGCCCCCATCTCGTTTCACCCACACCCTGATGATGCTAATTACATTATTGGATTGTCTGTTTTTTTAAGGATTTCTTCTACCCCTGGTTTCTCTTTTTTAAAAATTTATTTTATTATTTTTGTGTGTATGTGAACGTGTGCCGTTGTGGAAGTCAGAGGACGGCATTTTCCTTCTCCCTCCGCTTGGGGCAGGGTCTCCTGGGTCTGCATATTGGTCTCCAGGCCCATGAGCTACTGAATGGTTCTCCTGTCTCAGCCTCTCTCCTGATGTGTGAGTGCTGGAATTACAGTTGGGCCCCACCACAATCAACTTCTTCCAAAAAAAAATTTTTTTTTAAGATTTATTTTTGTTTTATGTATACGAGTGTTTTGCCTGTGTTTGTGTACCATGTGGTGCCTGTGGAGGCCCGAGGATGATACAGATCCCAGGAACTGGAGTTATGGATGGTTGTGAGCTGCCCTGTGGGTACCGGGAATAGAACCCCGGTCCTCTGGAAGAGTAACAAGTGCCCTTAACTAAAGGTATCCCTGCAGCCCCAACAACCAGCATTTTTACATACGTTCTGGGGATTGAACTCGGGTCTTTGCACCAGGCTGAGGGCCTGTTGTCCTCCTTACTCCCTGGACTCTATTGCACCCCCCTCAACTCTCCCCCCCTGGGGTGGGGGAGGGGGTACATTTCACTGGAAAGTTTTCTTCCCTGGCAAGGGAATTTCTTTCATGCTTGGGAATCTCTACCTGTTAGCTTAATTATATCTTGGCAAGGGATAATACTTTAAAAAATTCTTTTTCAATTTCTAGGAATTGAACCTAGGACCTCACGGTTGCTAGACAAGCAATTTATTGCCAAATTCTATCCCCACTTTAAAAAAAAATTTTTTTTTTTTAATTGAAATAGATTGAGTAAATCAGCCTTGAACATACTTTGTAGGACTTGGACTCAACTTTGTGACCCATGGGCTTGCCTTGAATTCATAATCCTCCTGCCTCAGTCTCCCAAGTAGTTGGGATTATAAGCCTGAGCTTCAAGGCTCAACAAGGAAAATGTTTTTGTTTTTTCCTCCAGAAAGGGTCTTGTGTAACCCATACTGGCCTCAAGTTCACTATGTAGCTAAGGCTAGCCCTGAACTCCTCATCTTCCTGCTTTACTTCCTGAGTGCTGGGATCAGAGTTGTGCGCCACCAGGCTTTTCTGTGAGAGCAGTGCGGACATTCCTGTTTATCTTTAATATTTAATGTTCCTATAGGGAAGACGAGATTGTCAGAATTAAACTCCCATGTAGAAACCGTTTTACTCAGGCATGGCGGTACACATCAATACACCTCCTCTTGGGAGCCAAGGCCAGAGGACCATGAATTCCAAATCTGCCTGGGCTGCCTCCCAAGACCTCCCTGCTACACCTTAATTTAAAGGTTTATTTTATGTGTATATATGTCTGCCTGTGTGAATGTGTGTGCATTGTGTGTGTGTAAGAGCCTGTGGAGGCCAGAAGAGGGTGTTGGATTCTCTGGAACTGGAGTTGTTACCATGTGGGTGCTGGGAATCTAACCCATCCTGCAAGAGCAACAAATACTCTTAGCCCCTGATCACTGCCCCAAAGCCTTTTTGGTTTTTGTTTTGTTTTTTTGAGATAGGGTTCCTCTGTGTAGCTTTGGTACCTGTCCTGGAACTCACTCTGTAGCCCAGGCTGGCCTCGAACTCACAGAGGTCCGCCTGGCTCTGCCTCCCGAGTGCTGGGATTAAAGGTGTGCGCCGCCGCCGCCGCCGCCGCCGCCGCCGCCGCCGCCCAGCTTTGTTTGTTTTTAAAGTCTATGCATCCTGGGAGAATCCTGTCTGGTCCTTGAGTTCTCTGTCTGAGTGAGGCAGTGTCTCTGTCTTGAACAGTTTTGGAGGGCAGGGGGTTACTTCGGTCTTCAGGTGTAGCTTCCCTTCTTCTCAGGGAAGTTTGTGTTGCCCGTCTTTCCACAGCTGCTTTCATGGCTGTTTTTCACCCATTTACATTGGTCCTCTCAAGCTTCCTTTGTTGGTATTTCTGGTCTGAGTTACTGGCAAAATTTGGTTCTCTGACAACTATAATCCATTAGTGCCTCAGTGGTACCATTTAGTTCCTCTTTCCCTGCTCTTCCTTTTTTTGTATGCTGTTATCTCCATTCTGCATGTGTGTGTCATGTGTATTTGGGCACATGCCTCGTGTGTGTGTGTGTGTGTGTGTGTGTGTGTGTGTGTGTGTGTGTGTGTGATGTGTGTGTAGGAGTGTCTGGAGCCCAGAAGTCAATGCTGGGCATCTTCCTTAGTTGTTCCCTGCAGTATTCTTTGAGGTAGGGTTTTTCCCTGAATCTGGAGTTTACCTGACTGGTTTTTACATGAGT